TGCAATGAAGGAATGAGCATCCCCTGCCGACCGGTCACCCCCACCGTGTGCTACTTGTTATGATCGGAAAATGATGGAAAAATCCGTCGTAAATTCAGTGTATAAATAACGGACTAACAATTAGGATGAAAAACGTCAGTCAGCATTTAACTCAATGATAAATTGTATTTGCTGACAAGGTCATTGTATCGACCATAAAACTTACGAAATGATGACTTTAAACGAGGCTGCTTATACTCTTGTTTCATCAACCTGTTTGTCAATAATTTACCTCGTTATAGAAACTGTTCATGTGTAAATATATAAGTCGTGATACTACACATGTAAATAGAAAATTTGAGAAAATATGTAATTCAAATCTGTGTTTATGCACCTTCAATTGGGATACTGAAAAACAAAATGCATCCAGAATACTTATTTCTAAATGCCAGAAAAGATGTCGATTTGTAGTAAGGGTGTTCAAAGGTCACATCGAAAAGTGACGTTGACTAGCGGTATTAATTTAATAGAAATAGACAAATATATGCTACTTGCATATTACACAATGAAAAATTTAAACATGTTCATCACTTGCAATCACATCACAAAACACAGACACAAATATTTCACAAAATCCTTGAATCTCCGAGGACACACTACATTCCTCCCAGGTTGTGCTTGAATCTTATACAGGTTGTTCACAAGGTTCGATATCCGGAGTTGGTTTTTCAATCGGACTAGGAGTGTTCGGTTTAATTTGTGTGGGTATCCATACTCTCTGGAGCTAGATCAAGAGGATCTTCAATTTTGCATTCGCCTGAGATTGTTGCGGAAGTAGGACACATGTGGAGTCTGTTGCGGCGATAGCGTTTCCCGGACTGTGTCTCAAGAATGTTGGACCTTGGAGAACTCTGCACAAGCACTGCAGGAGTCCATTTGTTGTCATGGCGCATGATAATAGTTTACCCTGGTTAAAGATCACGCAACGCCTTTCCAGCATGTGCATCAAAGTTCAGTGTTTGCTAGTATTTGCGGGTTTTTAGGCGTTCTTGAATATCCTCCATGCCAACTGTGGTAGATTCCAAGAGTGGTGATGCTACAGGTAAGGCAGTCTGGAGACTTATCACGGAGTGCTAATGGCACACGACAAGGAGGGTGTATCACTGGATGCACCAGTGAATCAATCTTGATTCCCTGTTTCAAAGGTAAGAGTCATAAGCCCTTTAAATGTCGCCATATTCAGATTGAATGTCTTAGGAACGTTTGTTGTTACTGAAAAATCAAGCTTGTAGGCTCGCTTTACGAGTCCCATGGCTGAACAAGTGACAAATCCTAGGATTGGTTTCGAAGGTATGTTGACAACTTCGAAAAATGTTTTCGCTAAAACAGTCTCGATATATGCATTTGGAATGTTGCCAACCGGTTACACTTTGTGAACACTATACGATTTTAAATTTGCTTTGGATGATGCAAACTGGTCAAGTACAAAGCCTAGATCTCTACCTGCTCAATGGCCCTGAGTGCCGAGTATAGGTTAAAAATTTGTAGCTCTCCACCGACAAGTGGTGGCGTCTCCATATGAGTGAAAAATTCTCGAGAGGAACATTAAACAACATACAATCAATCAGTCAATCTCATATAATTTGAGTATTGAGCGTAATGTGACCTTGGTATGAAGGACAAGAATGTCCGATTGTTAGATAGATCTATTAATCTACGCAGGAAAGCCCTGCCAGGAATAATAAAACTACAAGAAATGTTTAATAAATCAATTAATGACTGGGGCACTTGCAAAGAAAAGCTGTGTTTCATCCTTAAGATATGCCAAAAAATACAGGATATTTATCCTCTGGCAAACGTGCAATCATTAAGATGGAATCTATTTCTATTCCATAAATTATGATAATTTTTGTTGGTAATTGAGTTTTTTTGTCCTAATAAGATACACCAATATTGTTACATAATTTTAAAAATTGAACTATCGGGTATTTTGTTTATATCCACGAAGAAGTCATCCAAAATATGTGATATCCCTTCCATCCTAACGTTTTGTGATAAAACCCAATGGAGTGCTGATGAGAATTTCTTAAAGAACTGACATGAAGATGAACAACCCTTGAGTAAACATGTGTCATAGTTATATTCACCTTCCAATACAAAGCCAAGGAAATGATATCATTAGGGTGAAAAGGAAGCAAGCGAAAAGCATCCTCAATGTCTGCCTTTGCCATAAGCGAATTAAAACCATGAACTTAACCGATCACAGTTTCTGTACTTTCATAAGAAACGGAACAGAACGATCGCGGAAATGAATAAGTATATGTAACAGACGCTCCTTTAGGAAAGGACAAGTCATGAATTACACGATATTTCCTTAAAAGAACCAAACCTAAACAAAATTTGGAAATGGGAGTTGATCATAAGGACTTTTATATCGACCTAATTCTATTTCCTTATTTATTTTCCCCCAGACAATTTAATAGCACTTTTAAAACTGACAGTTCGGAAGGTCAAGCGCCAATACGAAAGACAATGGAAAAACCTGAAAGTGCAAAATCTCTGTCAATCTGATTGTAGCCTTTAAGGTGATACTTCAGTCTATCACACCTAACTGGTTATCTGATGCGAACTTCTTTCCACAGTGAACACACAGATGTTTAAATTTGTATTCTTTGAAACTAAATTGCCCTGTGCTGCAGAATCTCCATCAGAAAACTTTTAGATAGTCTGGTCGCTGCTGGATCCTATCCTGAAAGAGGGTTTTGTCGCGCTTTGAATTAGAGAGGATGTAAATTCCAGATTTATTCTGGCTTGTTGCCACTTGCCACAACTCATCATCACCCACTCAAGTATATGAGCTTGTCTAAGTTTCCGAAATTCTTCGTCGTAGAATTTTGCTGACTGGAAACTGTAGTCTGCTGATAAAATTCTATATTGTTTCCATAATTTATCAGATTCAAAGCTAACGATGGGTATTTTATGATGTACACAGACATGTAAATATCAAATGCATTATTCCACTAATGGACATTAAGAAGTGTTTTTACAGGTATGGAGTGGCAGTTTTAAACGTTTATCAACAATTAAGATAATTTTCTAGGTCATTAATGTACAAGGAAAATAAAAAGGAGAAAATTTTACCCCTTGCCGGACTCCGACATTACAAAAGAATCTTTATAAGTGATTTAATTGCTTGATACATTTTGTAATAAAAAGGTAGGTTCACTCCATAAAATGACCCTGTCAATGTACCAATTAACCGACCAAGTCCTAAGGTCCCATTTCGAACATTAACATAAAGTAGAGACTTAATGCTTTCATTTCCTTTAAAAATTTTCCTCTGAGAGTCCAAGTTCGGAAACCCAGACGTTGTGAAACTGCAATGTTCTTGATTTTTAAAGAAAATGGGTGAACTTGAGCATCTTCAACTTTTTATAAAAATATGAGCCCATCCCGCAATCTAAATTTTTTTTTCATTTTCATGGAGTAGAATCTTCTGAAACAGTTCTTTCATTGTATAATTAAATATTTTAGAACAAAGGTTGGGGGCTATGCAAAATATAAAAGAAAAATAGCTTAATTTTTTATGTCATTTCAAAGGAAATTTTCTGGATTTGAGTAAAATGACGAAATTCATGACGTCATAATACATGGACAAAAGAAAAAAATTACGTCGTTTTATTTGACATGAAGTCACCAAGGTTCCAAGTGAAATTTAACATGTTTTCAACTAAAACTGAGTAGTTCTGATTTTTCAGAAATTCACAGTGCCAAAAATGGACCAGTGTGACTTTTGTTCTTTGAACCATTTGCCTTCAATTCCTTAAATTAAAAGTTTTCTCCAGAGACCATTTCTCCAGAAAGTGTCAAACGCTTGTTTGAAATTTATAAAACACAAAAAAGTTTTTTTTTTACTCTTTATCGATTACACAAATCCCTGTAAGTAATCAATTATTAGTCGATTATATTTGTCACTAATTGTGCATGCCAACCCCTGCTTGCTAAGAAACAATCTTTATACATGTCTCAGCTAATAGGAAATCTACAGTTTATTTCTCAACAAGTTTCTCCAACTTTATATACAGTTGGTGAATGTAAATATAAGAATGCATCTGAAAAATATTATATAGATTTTTACAATTAGGTCTTATTTTTTATTTACATGTATATATTTTTAGGGATATGAAACCATTCCAAAAAAACCTAATTATTATCACGTCAAGTGCACAAAGTACAATATAGCATATCAAAATCTATTAGTAACATATTAAAGCTTGTCTTTTCTTTCAATTTTACAGATGAAGCGGCTATTAGCAACCTTCCTTACTCTAGAAGTGGCATTTGTTGTAGTAGACGCACAGACCGGAAATAGGATAGTAGATAATGGAATTGCAGCTGGTACTGAGCTAACTCAAGCAATCGGCAACAAGGAATTTGCAAATACCTTGGGGAAACTGGCCACTAAGGTTGCTCCGTATCTTGGTATGGTTGGTCCATTTATTGGAATAATAGCGAGTATAAGTGGTACATATGCAGATTCTGCAGAGATGATGTATATGCGTGAAAAATTTTCCCAGATGAATATTCGATTTGACCAAATTGATATAAAGCTATATGATATCGGTACAAAGATTGATAGGGCCGTTCGTAACATACAGTTTCATAGGTATGAATCGAATATAAGAGCCGCTAAACTAAAATTGAATAAGATGTTTAAGGCAAGAAACACCACAGACTTTGAAAGCTTTAAGAAAGACTTCACTGCTTTTTACCAAAATGTATATGCAGAAAGCACCCAGTTACTTTACAATCACATAGTTGGGTTTACAACATTTTCTGAAAGCATTCTGTCGTCGGCAATAAAGAATAGCGATAACGATCGGCGCAGTTTACAAGCTTTTATGTTGGAGCTGACCAAACTAATACTTACTGGCAGTCAGATTGAGATAGCATACTACAAGATTAAATATCCTGGATGGCTCAGAAGCCACGAACAAAAATGGATAAATCAAATTTAAAAAATGGGAAAGGACATGGAAGCTGTTGATAAAGATATCGCGAGGAATTTCCTGACTGCAGCAACCGACGATGGCAGGAGTATTCTGATAAACCTAAAAGGTTATTCCAACTCATATGTGTCTGAACAAGTTCATGATAAACTTAGAACAAAGTACTACTGGCGCAATTGGTTTGTTGCAGTTTACGACGATATCAAAGGCAGAAGTGAGCACTGGATAGCACTTTGTAATGGAAAATTTGTTTTTCGGGAAAGCGGCTTTAACATGCTGTTGTCAAGCAACTCCAAGGACACACCAACATTGGACTTTTCCAGGGCTTACTCTTATCTTGAAGATGCCAAATATTTAGACAAAAGCTTTTGGAGTCCAAAGCTATACTTAGACGCCAAAGATGTCATGGAAAGCATGGAAGTACCCGATGGCTGTAGCTCGGAGACAGCTTATGGAGTCATTAAAAGCTCTGCCGACGTTTCTATGAGAGCCAGTTACTGGAGATATGTTGTCATCTGGAGAGGGCCTTATATATTGTTCATGTTTCGATAACTCAAGGGGTAAAAAAGATTAAAACTGCTTCCTGATGCTTTTATCAGCTTTAAAAAAACAAGTAAACTTGAAAAAAAGATGGTATACTGTAACATTAAATGTCGTTATATGGTAATTATTTCGTGGTTTATGGAAAAAAAATTCTGAAACTAGGGGATTTGATTTTGTGGTATCGAGACAAGGAGGGATTTAATTTGGTTGGACTCTTCTTTCCATTAAAACAGCGAAATTTAAAGATTAAAAAATGAAGTAATTTCAAATTATGATTCCTAAGTAATACAGCTACATGTAAACGCGTACATTAACTAGTTGTTACGAAAAGAATATAAGAATTTCAAACTTTATTCGCAAACAAAGGAAATTAAAAAAAAGGGAACTCAAATAGCATTTTGGAATTAATGAAACACATTAAGATAACAAACAGTCTTCAACATCAAAAAGTCCGTAAAGCAATACAAAATATGAGCAGAGCAAACACGAACCTCCAAAACATAAAAAGGTCGGATCAGGTACTATGGAGGAGTGAGCATCCCCTGCCGACCGGTCACACCCGCCGTTTGCTCCTTGTCATTATCTTGATATTACGGAAAAATCCGTCATCAATTAAGTGTATAAATAATGGACCAACAATTAGTATGAAAAACGTCAGTCACACTTTGACTAATGATAAATTGTATTTTCTGACAAGGTCATTATATCGATCATAGAACTTAGGAAATTATGACTTTAATCAATACTGCTGATATTTTTGTTTCATCAACTTGTTTGTTAATAATTTATCTCGTTTTAGAAATTGCTCATACGTAGAGCATGCTCTTGCGTATCGAATCAACTGAGATACATGAACTCCGTATGCAGATGATGAAGGTATATTGCTGCATAAGAAAGGGAAGTTGACGATAGAAAAAGTTAAAGTAATAACATTTATCATAGAGCTTAGTTGTGAAATTAACATCAATTTCTTTTTCAAGTAAAATATCCAAATATGAAACAGATGTGTCAGACTTTGTGATATCTTTGATCTCAAGTTTACTAAGATATATCCTCTTGACATAAGAATGGAAAGTACAATTGTTAATTGACAATACGTTGTCGATATATCTAAATGTCGAGTTGAATGCCACAGCAAGTGTTTTCTTCTTTTCACGCATAGGATTTTGCACAACTTCTTATTGAAAAAGCAGCTGTCAATTATATCGAAAGCCTGGACTTAAATTTATCGTGGGTAATGGTTGTGTATAAAGTTAAAAAGACGTTAGTTTTTAAGCTGTTTCTTTCGGTTAAATTTCAAACTGTAGAAAAATATTTGAGTATCCACATCTGATTTACACCACTTCTTGAATATTTTGTTGCACAGTACTCTTGAAGTCTCTCCTTCACTAATGTTAATATCTTAGTGAGGAGTAAAGAAAGAAGCTTGGTTGAACATTTACTGGGACCCGCTATGTATCTTTGTTTGTAAGGATTCTTATGTACATGTAGTTTCGGAATCCAATATATATACGGTAGTTCCATCTTCCCAAGTCAAGAGATTCTGATCTGCTCCGCTCCACATAAACCTTTCACCGAATAGGCTAAGTTTGATGGGGTTAGAAATGCGTTCTCTGATTGGCCTCATGCAAGTCTGCATGAACCAATCAAAATCATTGTTTTATTTAAACTTAAACTAAATTGTAAAAAAAAAAGCCAGTTTTAGTCCCAAGGATAACGGCTTTATCATTAAAGAGTCCATTTAAAGGTTTTTCTCAGCTTTTTGTTGAATTATATTGAATTTATTATCAACTTCCAATATTATCTCGAATTCTCTGTTGAATTCGTTTACCCCTGATTGACCAATAGCAGAGGTCAATATATGTATTCTCACTAGATGGCGTGACAGTAAACCCAATCACACCTAGCCTATTCGGTCAAGGGTTTATGTGGAGCGGAGCGGATCAGAAACTCTTGACTTGGGAAGATGTGGTAGTTCAAATTTATTTTTGTTCTCTAGGATATCAAAAATATTCAAAACTGACATATGATTTTCAAGAATTTGCTCCTAAGAAAGGGAACTATGAGTATAAGTTGGATTACTACTTGTAGAATTAAATCCAAGTTCTTCTAAAATACAATTTATATAATTAGCCTTACAAAAAAAGACAATGTTTTTACCTGCTTTGTAAGCAGGGATCAGTACTTACTGATCATGTAATCTATCTAGTTCTTTTTTCACTTCTGGATTACTGAATACTGAAGGATACATGGTTTTCATGTCCCGCCTCGATCTTTTAATAGGTGATTTTAACATAGATCTGATACCTTTACTCCATTCTGACAAGGTGTCAACGTCTTCTTTTTCATATTTGGCCCATCGCCTGGCGTAATCTTCAACGGAATCCATAATATTTATGACATTCCGACGCCAGTTGAAGGATCGGGGTTCCCTATATTTAGGACCTTTTAAAATAAGTGATCTAAGGTCCTCATTATTAATTATATATACGTCACCTGTAATAACGTGTCCTGCGAGACTATAGTTATAGGGTGAAGAACGACATAAACACGATGAAGGATTATGTTTCAGATACTCGGTTTATAGTCTATGAAAAAGTTTTTTTTTGTAATTAAAAAGTTTTGAAGCAATGGTCGATGTATATATGTAGGAAATACAGGGTGTAGTCTTTAACTTAAAAAAAACTGGAATATAAGACTGGACCCTTTTGTGATTAAGAATATTACTCATATTAACCGCGTCTATTTCTTTATTGGCATATTGAAGTTTAAGGAAAAGACGGACTACTTCAGCTGCATTTTCTTCAGTAATACGTGAGAGTTTAAAAAGTCTATGACTTACAATTATCCACAATAACATATCCGAGCCTCGTATATTCTGTGTCGAGGAATCAAAAATGGGTTTTCCTTGACCTTTTCAAGAACACTTTTTAAAAGTTTCAAAGGGACAGAGTAAAGTTTGTTGCAGAAATGATGTAAACCTAACTGTTGATTTACATAAGTAGTAATTAATCAAAAGAGACATCTTGTATTAAAGGTTTATTGTAAGACCGATACCAAATGACTACCCTTACATCTCTGTGTATGGCTAAAAAGTCCCATCACATTTACATTGTTACACTGTGGACACTTTCGCTTCCATCCATTTTCAAGTCCAATATTAATCCAATCAAAACTGTCAGATGTGCAGTACCTGACAGGTAAAATGTTTTAAAAAATCACTGTATGTTAATAGTACAGTTGAAAAGAAATGCATTTAAAATGCTATTGACATCAAATAAATGTGCTAAGCTTTCATTTTCCTGAAACATGGGTTTCCATTGAAACATTTATTGCTTATTAGCTTAGATTAATAAATAATAATACATGTAATTTAATTTTAATTGTAACACGTCATTTGATTGGGTTTAATTAAGATTTAATTCATTTTTTTATGACATGACTTGCCTACATCACAATGAGTTACGTCAAAAACGTATTACTCCGCTTGACGTTACTTTTAAAATATGCTGAATTTGAACTTTTTTTCTGGAGAAAAAATTATCTAATTGTCTAAACTGAAATTAAATTATAAGGAATGAATCTTATTTCAACTTATGTTATACGATATAACATAACTTGGGGCAGTTTACATTTTTTAAAATAAAAATTGAGTTTATGTATATTTTTGAAAATGCAGATTTTCCAAAGATCAGTAAGAGTTATAAAGCAAATCCATGATAGGAAGAAATTAGCACGTGATGTTTTCAGAAAAGATTGCCTAATTTTGATAATTACATGTATATAGTTATATAATTTTTATACAATTAATTACCCCTTTTGAGGTCAACATGGTGAAATAAGGACCCGAGACCAGGCCCACGAGGTGACCTGACCTGACCTAGGTAAGTTTTGAGGTAAGTTTTTGCATCATGATTTACTGATTTAATAAAACAATATTTGGTTGATAGCGACATACATTGGTATAACTAGCGATTACTTTTCCTATACACAGAATTCATCTCCTTAAAGAGCCGCTTCTGCATTCCATTGAACTGAATTGTAACGATATTTTGAAATGAGTAAACTGTTTTAGTTAACGATAAAATTTTACCGTATTCTGTGTGGTAATGCAAAACAGACCATGCAATTTTAAAAACATATTGATTTTCTTGAATAATTATTATTTTATGCATTAGCTTCACTCAAAAAGGAATTTTTGATTAAGAGGTCATTATTTAGCGGTCATTAATAATGACTGGGTCATTATATCTCACGTGCAATGATTCCTATGTCATTATTGCTGTAAACAGTACCATTTGGAATTATTGTTGTGTTTTAACGTTTTCTTACCAGCCAATCAAATTCGAGTATTATCAATAGAGGTATAATAAAAATAACTGATAGTGCTATTTTGAAACATTCATGAATATATGAAGAGTGATTTTCTTATGCATGGAATTTTTGCTTTGTAGCTACTGAAACTGCTTGCATTTACTAAGTACTATGATTTTGTTATTTGCATTTGTCTCATTTCTGAAATATTCTGATTACTGGTCTCTCTGCACTATTTTATATTTCAATAACTATATAATTTTTTTGTTCTAGCCGTTCGTAGTTCTAATGTATTAATTTAAATTAAATAAATAATTTGTTAACATTATTATCGGACAGACACTATAGTTAACTTTTAGACTGCGAGAGCAAAGGCAAGACGCTCCATTAAATTAACGTTTTAAATTTTTTGTTTGAATACCTCAGTTTAGAAAAAGAAAAAAAACCTCTTTTAAAAATTCAGACAGACTCATATTGATGATCATTCTTTATTCTTTATGCAGAATTATGTGTTATTGTGGGTATAATTCTACATATTATCTGCAGCCAGCCATGCACTCGTCCACCCATTTAGAACAGAAAAGTCCGCACTCCTTGCTGTCTTTAGGACGTTTGCTACAGTCGTACAGTTTCACACACTGGAGAAACGCGTCAGTGCACGCGCTCTGGCATTCCAAAACCTTGACGTCAGCGGAAGTTTGGATGACGAGTCCCGACATTAAAACTATCAACACAAGTTTCATCACCAATTCCATCTGAAAGAAAGGAGTAGTTAATGAATGATGGGTTGAGAGAGGCCAATAAATGCTGGCGAATGGCTGCAAATTGAGAAATGCGTACTCGACACTAAGGTCCTATGAGCATTGAGGGATCTTTTCCATCCAAACACCTATAGCGATACGGGGCCTCGGTTAATTCAGTGTCACCAAAAGGATGCGGTATTAATGTCCCTCAGGTCCCCGCACATGGATACGAACCCATCGTGTAAGGATCAACTCATATATTGCAAACGCTCAACCCAATGCGCAACGCAGGTGACTAATAAATTATGTAACAAACATTTTTAATTTAAAGTCTTTTCTTTTTTCATGAAATTTTAATCAAGAATCGTTTGTGGAGACAGAGGACATGTGACTGTATTGCCTTTATACATTGAATTCAAAAGCGTTATGATTTGGATGTAATTATTATAGTAAAATCGTAGTCAGGTTTTCAAACACGGTGTGCTTGTCCCAGGCTCATACGCTATTTGTCAAACATATAGACTACTTTTCAGCATAGTAGTTTCAAATCATAACATTAATATAATATTACTAGGCTGACTATTTTGATATATATGCCGAATTAGTTATTTATTCCAAAAAAATTTTGGAAGCATTAAATCTGATGGAAAGATTTTGTCAATCGTTATATAAAATCGCGTTTTGAAAACTCCAAAGTCCCACATGCTCACTTAAAGTTTGAGAATTGATTTAGTTAAGGTCTTCCGTCTTCACGGAAGACCTTATAGTGATTCTACTGTTTCTTATTATTATTCTTATTATTATTATTATTTTTTTTTTTTTTGACAAAATTTTGTGCAGGCGATTTCATTAAAACTATTCAGCGGTTTCTCATGAAACTTTCACCAAATATGTGTCATTATATGAAGTTGTCACATCCGAAGAGAAATTTGGAAAATTCTCTTCTGGTGCCAAGTTATGGTCAATTTTCTGATTTTAAAATGCGATTTTGTCGCCCCTTTTTTTCGAAAATGGCTAGGTATATGATATGGAGACTTATCGGAGATGATAGAGCATGACTTTCTGGTTTGCAGAATCGCCTTTTCGTGCGTCGTCAGTACTTCCGGTCTTCACGAGATGCGAATTAAAAAAAAATCGTATTTTCTAACTTTTTTGTTTTTCAGTATTTTTCATTAATTTTTGGTATGTTAATAGAAACCCTCCTTATAATGCTTACTATATAATTTGTTTGAATGTTGATAAACTAAACTCTAGATATTAGCATTCAAAAATATGAAGCGGGTCCAAAATGGCGGCTGTAAAATAACGCCGACATTTCGCAATGGATATAATAATGCATAAGCGTTTGCTTGAACGAAGTAACATAAGAATAAATGAAATGTAAAGGAATACTTGGATTGTCACGTCGTAGTTTCGTTGCAGTTCTGTGTCAAACTAACGTCTTCTATAATTGGTTTTGGCTGGTTTTTAAAGTAGAAAAAGAAAAGACTAAATGTGCAAATGAAATTCGATATTAATATCTTTTGTGCATCACGGAAAAACAGATCTTAAATCATACTTATTTTCATGAAACTTTTTCAAAAAAGGATATCAATTAATATTGTCAGTATATATCTTAACCATTGTTTTTCATATACACATTTGTGTCATAATAAACTAATAAATAATGCAAAAATAAGAAAACGATTTTTTTTAAAGATCGCTTCGTGGAGTTTATTTGAATATTCTTGTCTCAAAGACCTGATTCAAGTTATTGAGCATAAATGATTTCTGATTCCTTGACCATCAAAGGGCGAGCCATGTTTTTCGGTGAAACGTTTCAACCTTTTTCAATTAACTTATCGGGATAGTTCAGTTTGGGGATAAACAGGAAATTGAAAAAAAAATCATACCCGTTTTAACCGCTTAAGTGTTACATGCATATATACAATATGGAATTTGTAAAATGTGTTAAATATTTTTTTATGGAATCTAAGGCTATAAGAACGATTTTTTTTTAATTTCATTGAAGCTATCACACCTATTTAATAGAAAATTCCAAAGAAAAGGCGCAAGATTAATTCGTGGCGTTTGGCGCTAAATTTTGAATAGTGACCCACCTTTCATAATTTTAAGAGAGAAGCACTGTCTTCTTAATATATTCAAGTAGATTTAGAGTAGAAGTCCCGATAGCGTAATATTTAGTGCTTTGGAATTTCCTGCTTGCGACTTGACTTTAATCCCCCTTGTGTGCAAATCTTTTTTTTTTTTTATATACTTTTTTACCCCGATTTTACGTTTTCTTTCCAGAACTGGACGGAAGACCTCTCGTTGCTCGCAACGAGTTTCATATCTAGTTCATTTTATTTTTGTTTAAGATTTCTGTCGGTGATATCAGTTTTAGGCAATAGCATTAGTTTCTTTTATTTTTTTTTTTTTTGATTTGTGTCAAATTGATGAAATGAGTTCCTGTAAATACATATACATTATAAATATTTGTGATGTTTTTGATAGCATGTTTGACTTGCTTTCTCCCTAACGTAACATATTGTCTCCAGAAAAGAAAATTCTACATATAATACGAGAAAATATTCCAACTCTTTTAAAAAATGCTCATTCTTTACAAAAATACAGTAATTTGGTATTAATTATAAACAGACAACCTTAACCGAATAAGGCCTGTCAAATAAAGCTCTACCCCTAGAATAAAATTGATCACACGTACTTGGAATATTAAGGAAAATGTGATAAAAACAATAATAAGCTTCAAAATAAATAACAAAAGAGCACCAAAAAGACAAATAAATTAAAGAAAACCTTACCTTTTCCAATTCTCAAACAGGAACAACAATGACTGGTTGCAATGGAATTTTTCTCCTTTTTTTCTTTAAAATAATACTTTTATACTTTTTAGTTTATTTCGAACACAGCAATAAAGAAATAGTCAGCAGAAAATGGAATATGAACAAAAGGTCATACACATTATTTCAGTGGTGATAAAATAATTTTATATCTTTAAATGGATATAATAATGCATAATTTAATGGATAGTTCTAAGGTCAAAAGGGTAAAGTCAGTTAATGTAGACCTTCTAGATACACGTATTCTGCATGATCAATTATTCAATGTCATCTGCAATCATGACAATATTTGAAGGAATTTCATGTATATAGTTATTTCATTTTATGTCTTTAAATTATGTCTACTCATACTGCCATCATAATTCTAAAACACAGATAGCAGTTATTTTGAAAAATATATAACATTTTCAACATTTTTAAAATTTAAACAGCAATAAAGGAATGCTTGCTTTACAGAAGTAGATAATTAGTATAAATAGCAGAAAAAACGCCTTGGATAACGAAAGAAGTTTCCATCAAAACTCTGCACATTAAACCAACATGTAGGTCATTAATTGCAACATTCATTTATTTAATAAATACTCCTCTTCTACAAAGGTCAGTGGTCGCCCGAGTGGTGCTCGCATTTTTGAGCATTTGCTCTTGAAAGAGTCGCCAGGTAAGGTATAGATCATCGCAGGTTTGAAACCCATGCAAAGACCATTCCTTCGGGTGAGGTCTGTAGATCGGGGTTCCCTGTTGCTTTAGATGCTGGCACTAAAATGATCCATCACTGCTCAAAACCCTAATCTGTCTAAAACACTCTACTGGCAGGGATATGACTCAATAATTATGTGAAAAATTCTTTAAGGGATTTAAATGACGAAAGGATAACCATCTCATACTGAAATGGCTGAAAACCATTTCTTGATTTAATTTTTAAATCATGAAACTGTTCAACACGTTTTGTAAAAGGTTTCAGTAATATTTTTTCTGTCATTAAGTATAATCTAAACTATAGCGTTAGCACGTGCTCCCTCAGACTATAAAAAAATCAAAAAGCATAAAAGGTACACAAGTTATATTGCAGTAAAACATTCTATTGAAAAAGGATTTTCAGATAGTACTTTCACATTATTAAAAAAAATTATTAGGTATTTTAAAAGAACGTACAGCAATGCACCAAGCTTTGTAAAGAGCTGATTATTTCTAAATCGATGATGTATGCAAAAAATGATCCATTTTCAGTACATGTCCAAAATAAGTCATTTTTCTATTTTCATGAAAAAGATGTCTCGATGAAAAGGAAAATCTATCTTTTTCCTTACATGCTTTCTCTAAATTTAAAGAGATTTCAATTTACCTTATAGAGATATACCACTCAAAGATAAAAAAAGATATCTCTTTACCTTATATAGGGAGAATATTTATAGAATGTTGTATCTCAAAAATAAAGCTTTTTCTAACTGAGTGATATCTATTTTAGTTAAAGAAATTTTTTAAGATAAAGAAATTCTAGCAAAAGATCTCTCTCCCCCCCTCTCTCTCCTTGTGAAAAAATATCTTTTTTTTAAAATATCTCTGTAATTAGACTAAATACTGTAAATTGTTTTAATTCCACGGTGTTAAAATTTCACGATATCTCTAAAAGTACTCTCTCTCCTATAAGCAATTTAACATTATTAAAAAAATAATATCGATTGGTTTAATTTTGGAAAATTTAAAAAATATCGAAATTAAAACCATCGTGAATATTTGCCAATCTACAGTATATTATTTGAAAGAAATTCAGTAGACAACACTGAAGGTTATGTAAATGTTTTCTTTTAAAATATAAAGTGGAATGAACTTCTAGTTTAAATGGATGTAGGTTGCGTCTGATTTCTTTACTTCTTATAGGAATATTTCAATTAAAGAGGCACCGCAGCGAAAAACAGGAAAATTCACAAAAGGAAAATGTTTGCATGGCACCTTGCAGATATTAGGTTCAGAAAATCACAGGTTTAATTTACATTTATGGAGAAAAAAAAGAAGAACAGAAATCTTTGTATAGCCCAAACCCAAAATACAAATTCACTTCATCTTCTTTATTATATGCATGCGCTGAAGAATTTACCATGGTTTCAATGCTATAAATATGAATGTCGGATGACCAAAAATTTTGATACAATATTAAACAAATTCTTCAATGTCGTTTACAAGTTTCATGCTCAAAATAAAGGAGGCATGACCTTGACTTTTTGACCTTGACGATAAAATCAAAGCGCTTACATTTTGCAGCTGTTTTTCCTTGTTTTACATACAATTGAGTTGTCGAAATTTCGATTTAGTCATCAAAGCACATGAATCCTTTGTTTTATAATACAATTCTCTTAAAAGAAACACACGACGTTGACTCATTGTGTGTAACTTAAATTTTGTTCCTTCTGATTGATTTTCATTTTGAATGTTTATTTTCATTTTGTTTCTAATTTTCAATTCCCAAAAATCTGCTATGCATTACATGTATTAAAATACCCAATCATTTAAATTTTATAACGTAGATTAAAATTATACTTATTTATTTTTATTATACTCACTGCAAAACAAATGGAGATAACGAACAGTATTCAAGATCAAAAGTCCATAAAACAATACAAAAGAGGAGTAGAGCAAATACGGACCTCAAAAACATCAAAAATGGGATCAGGTGCCATGGAGGAGTGAGCAACCCGTAAAACAGAGACATGTAAACTCCGTATGCAGGTGATGAAGGTATATTGCTGCTTAAGTAAGGGAAGTTGACGATAGAAAAGTTCAAGTCATCACGTTTATCATAGAGCTTAGTTGTTAGATGTCTTTTCAAGTAAAATATCCAAATTTAAAACAGATGTGTTAGACTATGTTGTATCTTTTATCTCAAGCTCATAAGGATATATCGTATCGAAATAAGAATGGAAATTACCATGGTTAATTGAAAATACGTTGTCGATATATCTAAATGTCGAGTAGAAGGCCATAGCAAGGTTTTCATCTTTTCACGTACAGTAAAACTTCTCTTAACCGGCCTCCTGCCGGACTGAATAAAATGGCCGGACTAGAGGGGTGGCCGGATTCCCGAGAATCTAGTATACTGGAGAATTTCAGATTTTCAACACATGTATGATAAAGTACGCATTAACGTAGTAAATAGTAAATAACAAATGTAATAAACAATACAAACAATTTCTCAAGCTGAGTTTGATTTACTGAAGAAAAAAAGCTGTTTTATTGAATTGGAACTATATGCTCAATGCACTGTAACTATAAATCACAATAAATATTTCATTTCAAGAAATTTTTAAATGATATAATGTTAATATATTATGTTAAAAATGAAATTTTTTTAATGGTTATTTCTGTTGAAAGAATTTATGAAGTAGCAAATAAAAAAAGGAAAAGACAATAAGTTCAATAAAATAACAAAAAAAAAAAAAAAAAAAAAATTTAAAAATATGATTCTAGAAAACACAGAAGAAAGAATAAAAAAATTGAAATTGAATGAGAAAATAAAGATTTAACTTATAAAAACTTGTAAAAGACATGCTTCCTTTAATTGTTTTAAGATTTGTTTTCCTAAATTTTGGAATTAATTTTGCCTTATCCTATAAATGTCTCCAACTAACCTTCAACTACAGAAAATAAACATTATTCTTAACGAAAGAATCTTCACAACACATATGACCTTATACTGCCTACCTAACGAGACCTGAAAAATCCAGTTTTAATTGGAACAAACAAATCATTCAATGAGGCAAAAATAATTTCGTTTTTTATTATTGTGATAGCCGAGTCAAATTCTCGGAAATTCATCTGAATAAATCGGAAGATTATTTTTAGGTTTTACCAAATTGCATCAATAATGCACAATATGTCATTGAAAATGATAGCACATCCATGTACAATTTATTTGACTGCTATAAAAATAATGCTAATCAATCAATTAACGTCTTTTTGAAGTTTAATTTAAGATCATGCATATTAATTTAAACAAATCATTTACAAAAACGACTTTTCGTAGTCCTGGGAATATCCTATTAAATTGGTAATTCCCAAACATATTTCCATGAACGTTTAAGAAAATACGTCATTATATCTTTGCAATAAATTATTCAATCCATCAATTTGTTTATCGTTGCAATTTCCTGAAACTGAATAATTTCGAAACATGCAAGGTATATAAGAAGGCATATCAGCAAAAGATTTCTATATAGATTAAGATAAGAGAGTAAAATCATGTTTTATTACAAGATTACAGTGACTATTGTATTAGTTGCCTTGAATGCTGAGGCCAGATGTAAGTTATTTTTATTTTTATCAATTTATTTTATTTTTCATAAAACTTTTGAAAATATATTTTCGTGAAAATATAGATAGGATGAACTACATGATATTTATAGAATACATGTATTGAAGGAACATTTTATTTAAATTTTAAACTTTTGTAAACAAGTCTTAATATAGGATTGAAATAATATAAATTTATATTAATGTTTTTGACCAAAATATACCACCTTGTGCATTAAACACAATTTTTGTTTTAGCTTATGGACCCACCACACCAGATTACCAGAAGTGTAGATACGGGCGTTACCAGGCTGATCTCGGTAATGAGGAGCTGTGTAATCCATGGCGCCCAATGTGTGCTAAAGGATATAACTGTCAAGGCGGTCCAGCCGACCAACCAGGACCCTGTTGTAAAGGTCAGTTTTAGCAAAGTCAAGGTCTTCCCTCTTAATGGAGACCTTGATTTTTCTTTGTTTTTTTTTCACTACCCTTTTTTCTACCGATTTTTTACTTGAAAGTTCTTGTTAAGCTCTTTTTTTATACCTTTGACTTCAAAAAGTTATACCAAACGCACATGTGTAGTGTGTACAGGATATAGAAAATACAATAAATCTAATGTAATTGTTATCATCGGAGTAGGGACAAGAAAACAACATAGAACCAGATACTTTCATTTGTTCTACTGAAAATGTCACAAGAAATGGAAGTGATTAGTTTAAAATCCTCATTACAGCTGTAAACCCATGTAAAGTTGGTGAACCATACTCAAGAGACGGGGATGCTCCTAACTGTTTAAAGAATTATGGATTGTCTACCTGTCCCAAAGGGTACACGTGTATAGGGACAAAAGAAACATCCTCCGTGTGCTGTAAAGGTACAATATTCCTTAGAATTTTTTAAAAACATGTCACCTGAAATTATTTTTTTGCAAGGAAATAACTTCTATATAGATTTTTTTTGGTAAATTCGACTGAAAAGAAAACCCAAAGTACAAAATTCATAATTTTCTTGCAAAATAACATTTATTTATGCATTTTATATGCACACATTTTTTAAAATTCATTTTCATATTAATACATTTGATTAAAAAACATTGATAAAAAAACTTAATGAAGTGTTAATAACTTTTTTGGTAATTTTGACATTGTAGGTTGTACATATGAAGGAAAAACTTATTTTCCATCTGAAAAGTTTTACAATAACCTTGGTGAACATTGCACCTGTTTAGCTAACGGACATGTAACTTGTTTAGAAAAAGGTATGTCTTCAAATCATACAACACAGTAATGTTTAGTGCTTCTGATTTCTTTACCTGGACTGATATATCAAAAGCAAGCAAATTCCAGGAAAATTAAGATGTTAAAAATACTCTAACAAAAATACCTTTTTCTACATTAGCAACATTTTGTTTAATTTATTATTGTTTTCGGACAATTTGTTTAGAAAGCTATGCTTTGTGTCTTCATGAAAATTATCTAAATGTTTGTCGACATCATTATCCTATATATTTTATCTATCTTGTTAGTCCCTTGTAAGTACGGAAGCAAAACATATTCATACGGAGAGCCACAGTTTCCTAAAGGGGATGGATGTAATGTCTGCACATGTCTAAAGGATGGAACAGTGTCTTGTACAAATAACCCTTGCTGTATGTTTAAAGTTTTGAATTTACTTAGAAATAATGACATTTTATACAAATACAATAACATATCCTCTTTTTAACTTTTCATTTTACTGAAGTACATTTGTGTATTTGGAAATATGTAAAAACAAAAATGTATGTTTTTCCTTTAACAGATTGCAAAAATAAAAATGTCAAGTACGAGATCGGACAAAAGTTTGATGATGGCTGCAAAAGATGTGTTTGCACGAAAACAGGAGAAGTAACATGTACAGACCAGTATTGCCCAGGTAATTAAAAATCTGTAATACTTTTTAATTATAATAATAATATTATAATATGATTATCCAGGTAACTGAAAACTTATCCATTTAATGTCAATAATAAACATATAAATTACAACATTTTGTTGCTAAATCCCAATGTTTGATATTACTTGTTAAAATAAGTATTTTAAATATCATGTTTATACTTTTTTTATTGAAGTACCATGTCAGTACGGAGGCAAAACGTACACATATGGAGAGCCACAGTTTCCTAAAGGTGATGGATGCAATATCTGTACATGTCTTAAAGACGGAACCGTGACTTGTACAAATAACCCTTGCTGTATGTATATATTTTGTAATATATATATATATATTTTCTTATTTTGTAATATATATATATATATATATATATATATATATATATATATATATATATATATATATATATATATATATATATATATATATATATATATCTATAGGACCATCCGTCTAGTGATTGGAGGGTGTTTTCATTTTCTTATGTTTTATCTTTTTGCTTACATACCGGTAATTCATGGTATTGGATTTTGTTTTTATTTTTTTATTTCAACATATTAAGGTCGAGTTTTAAAAGATGTTCTTTTCTTACATAGATTGCAAATATAAAAATGTAAAATACAACATCGGACAAAAGTTTGGTGATGGCTGCAAAAAATGTGTTTGCACAAAAACAGGAGAAGTGACATGTACAGACCAGTATTGCCCAGGTAATTAAGAATCTGTAATATTTTATTATCATTATAATTATGATATGATGAAACAAAGCAAAGTGTTACATTATCACCAAATAAAAAAAATGTAATTTATGAGTAGCAAAATTGATTTTCAATAAGAGAAACAATCACGAAAAAAAGACGAAAAGGTGATCATTATTGTACCAAAATAATTATTAAGTAAATATATTGGATTTTTAGTACCTTGTACCTACGGAGGCAAAACGTACACATATGGAGAGCCACAGTTTCCTAAAGGTGATGGATGCAATGTCTGCACATGTCTAAAGGATGGAACCGTGACTTGTACAAATAACCCTTGCTGTATGTAATAGTTTTTTTTTAAATTTTGAATCAAATACTGATTAAATACAGGTATATATATATATATATATATATATATATATATATATATATATATATATATATATATATATATATATATAATGAAAAAGACAATATATATAGTCTAGAGATTAGAGTGTTCTCATTTTCTTCAGTTTTATCTCTTTGCTATCATAATTCATGGTTTTTAATTTTGTTTATAATCTTTGATTTTAAAAATGCTATTTAGAATGTTAAAATATTATTTTCTTTTCTTACATAGATTGCAAATATAAAAATGTAAAATACAACATCGGACAAAAGTTAGATGATGGCTGCAAAAAATGTGTTTGCACAAAAACAGGAGAAGTAACATGCACAGACCAGTATTGTCCAGGTATCTATAAATCTGGAATATTTTATTATCATTATAATTATGATATGATGAAATAAAGAAAAGTGTATTAATGTCATTAAATAAAAAAAAAGTAATTTCTAAGATGGTAAATTAATTTTCAGTTAGAAAAAATTCACGAAAATAGACGGCGAGATAATCATTTAGTACCAAACACCTATTTAGCGAATTATTTGGATATTTTCAGTTCCTTGTACCTACGGAGGCAAAACGTACACATATGGAGAGCCACAGTTTCCTAAAGGGGATGGATGTAATGTTTGCACATGTCTAAAGGACGGAACAGTGTCTTGTACAAATAACCCTTGCTGTATGTAATATTTTTTTCTTCAAATTTTGTATCAAATACATATTACACATTAATTTAAAAAAAAAAAAACAAGAGGTCTGGTGATTTGGGGGATGGGTCTCCATTTCTGCTGGGTTTTTTTTAAAATTAATTCATGATATTGGATTTTCTTAATATTGTTTTTATTTGAAAAACACGATATAGAAGATTTTAAAGATATTTTCTTTTTTACCAAAAGCAGATTGCAAATATAAAAATGTAAAATACAACATCGGACAAAAGTTTGATGATGGCTGCAAAAAATGTGTCTGCACGAAAACAGGAGAAGTAACATGTACAGATCAGTATTGCCCAGGTAATTAGAAATAATATTTTAAAAAATTCCTTTGCAACATTGACCATTATGACTCCTTTTAATAAGTAATGATGGTATAATTATTTTAAAAAAAAATATATCAATAAAACAATTTTGATTTTAATTTTAACAGTGTACTGTCACTATAATGGTCAAAAATATTCTTCTGGGGAGACTTTCCCGGCAACTGATGGATGTAACCAGTGCACGTGTCAGCAGACGGGACAGGTCACGTGCGGGAACAAAGCATGTAACACTTATCCAACAAAAGGTGTTGTAAATAACCCTTCACCTGTCAAATTAATTTGTATTCACTTTCAGTTAGTTACTTGGTCATTTCTAAAAACTTACATGCGCAAATTTCATGAAAGCTGTGTATTTATTAATGAAATAAATTAAAACAATAATTGGTGTTTGTAAATGTGGCAAATAACGTTGCACATGCTACAAAAAAAAAAAAATTCAAAACCTTCGTCATTGTTTAAAATGATCAATGTAATAAAGTAAGTTTAATCTATTTACAGTGTACTGTATGTATAACTACATAAGATATTCTGCTGGAGAGACTTTCCCATCAACAGATGGTTGTAACCAGTGCACCTGCTTAGCCAACCGCAAGGTGTCATGTGGAAACAAAACCTGTCAATCTTATCCAGGTAAGAAAAACAGTTACTTTTGAGATATGCCGTGCTATAGAAAAGTCAGTGTAATCAATAATGATTTAGAACATGCACAAAGTTCTTTTTTTTCAAAATGAGACATTGTATTGATAACTTTATATAAAGTAACAATATTTTGATCTGACATAGTTACATGTAGTGTGTTTAGTTCACATGGTCCCTCTGCATATAATGAAATCAAAAATTATTTTTCATTCTTCAAAGTGTCGTTTGTCATTTTAATTTGTCAATTATGTCAATTGTAACAGGTATATCTTATGATTTTTTTTTTTCATTTTCAGGATAATCAACAATCCCTCTGATTTGCCATTGATCTATTTGCTGACACTGATATCAAGGAATACTGTGATTTTATATTAACATTTTTACACTGATCTTGTATATGATTTTTTTGTACTGATTTTTAATTTTATTTCTATTGAGAATAAATTTTATAAAAAATACCCTTTGATTTAAATATCATTTTTCATTTATGACAACATTTCCTTTTATGGCATGTGTCATGTAGAATTTAACATTAGTAAGAGAACCTATGAGGGTCTACATAACTATTTTGAAGAACATTAGAGCTTTGTTATATCAATTACCTATCTATTGTCAATGATACTTGAGGAATTTAAAACAATTCATATATTGTACCCACAAATTTTTTTTTTAAAAATCGATAATTAATGAATCAACATGTTCATAAAATAGTCGTAAAAATTTGAAGAGTTAAACTTAGATGCTACCCACCACGTAAATAGAAAACAAAACTTAACATAATCTCAGAATCTGAAGCATCAGTTAAACGGTTTCTGTTTGAAACAATTTCTTTATTGTTGGTACGTATATGTATCAATAGGAAAGTTGTTCTGATACAGACCTGATGTTAATATTTAAAAAAATATTAAAAAGATCATGAAAAACTCTAGAAAATTCAGAGTAAAAATGCTTGAAAATCAAAATCAGTCTGTAAACTGAACTTATTTTTAAAAATAAAAAAAAATAGTTCAAGACAACAGCAATGCAACTGTGTTCAGTACCCAAACGAGGTCCCTGTAACACCAATGTACTTGTCAGTAGCCCACATATGTTTACAAATTGATTGTACTCGAAGCATGCACCTGGGTATCGAATAATGAGGAAATTGTAAATAAACACCATATACATGCGACAGCGGATGTTACTACATAAATGAGAAAAGTCGGCCATTGTAAAGTTAAAATTATATCGTTATCATACAGTGTAGTTGTTAGTTAGCCCTTATAGTTGAGTCAGTAAAACATCTAAATATGGAACAGGTGTAGCAGACTACATGGTATATTTCATTTCAATTTAATGGAATACATGAGTCTGTTACCATAAGAATGAAGCAACTATTTTTTAATTGATATTGCACCCAAATGTCGAGTTGAAAAGCCTCAGCAAGTGTTTTCCTCTTTTCCTGTAGAATTTTTTTGTTTTATTTATTTTTAATTTTTTTATTATTTTTTTCATAAATTCTGTTTCTTGGAAATAAGAAAAAGATCAATGAATGAAGGAAACATTTACTATATTGTATATGGTTTTTTTATTTAAATGTTTCACTTGAATACATTTTTCACATAGAATCCTCTTTTCCTATAGATGCTTTTTTTTTTTAATAATTTTTTTAATTTTCATAAATTCATAAGATTTTTTTGAGAAATAAGACCTGAAAACCTGTGTTCTAAGTTGTAGCTTCTGATTGAAATAATTTCTCATATAACTTTATAAAAAAAAATATATTACTCGTATATAGTTATATTGATTTTGTTATTATTTTAAGGCAATTTTTGCATATTTCCGGATATTTGAAAGAGTTTTTGGTTGGCCCTCAGTGAGCCTAGGGACCGCCAGAGAAACCAAAAACTTTAACGAAATTTATATTGGTAAACAATTTTAATTTTTTGTTTAACAAAGATTTCCTTTTGTAGCTAATTTTTTATTGCGTTATTTGAAAATGAAGAATATTTTTAAAGTGATTATATGTAAAATAATCTACATAGATTCTTTGCTATTATATTTGTTTTATTTAAGGCATTTTGCATCCAATTTTAAAAAGAGGTAACAAATATTTTTCATTCAACAAAAATTTACATTGGTAAACAATGGAAATGCAGTTATTGGTTTGGATTCATTTCGTATTGTTAATTATTTGCATATTTTGGGAAACAAAAACATAACTTCTTAATATTCGATGCTAACACTGACAAATATATTTATTTACACTAAATAAAAATGAATAGATTAAAATAAAGAGCAAAATAACATACTTTTTATATAAAAGTAAGAAAACTTTTGAAAATATGTCCATTATATTTAACTGCATAATAATAAAATGGTCATGTATGTTCAAAATATTTTCCAAGGATATCTTTCTTATCTTACGGAAAGTTAAAATTCGTAATGAATCCAATTATAATTCTGACGTAGACATCTGTACGTAAAGCAATAAAAGTATTTGAATTTGATTTGAATACTTCAGGTTCACAACTTCAAAACGAATTCAAAATAAGGAAAATAAAATAAATAACTATATTGAATTTATGTCACTGCAACATGTTTTACTTTTTTTCTTCAAGGAAACTCTACGCAATGACATAACACTTAGCATATATTTCCATGTAAATTGCCCTTGCGGTTTGAATACGTTGTTTCAGAATCTTAGGTCTTTATGTACTTTATATTCAAATTAAATCAATTTTGCACACAACCCTCATCCAGTTACGTTAACCTTTTTGTGTTTAATGAATTTGTTTTACCTGAGAAAATTAATTCACATCAAAGTATTCAAGGAGACTGAAAAGGATATAACAATGAAAATTATCGTGTGTTTTCTGTTGATAACGCTTAGTCAAGGGGTTCCATGTAAGTATACAATCCTTGGTTTTTTTTTCATCATATTTCAAATTTATAAAAGAATTTCAGTCTAAAACACTAATCTCAAGATACTAATTAAAAAACAACTTTTGTTTAATATTTAATATCTTTAATTGTGAGAAATGTATCGTGATATATGGACAATTCTAGTTTTTCTAGATCAGTACAATTTCTTCTTTAATTTTAAGACGAACCGCATGCTATAGCATCTATAAGGTGTCGTTTTGGTAAATATTATAAGGACGTGGGAAATCAGCCCAACTGTAACCTCCTGGGCGTGTCCTGTCCAGAACCAGACTTCTATTGTCACGGGGATACCACAGAGCAAAATGGATTCTGTTGTAAGAGTAAGTACTGATTAAAAATGGATTATTTGATTTATTTCACTGTCCATTTTTGTATTCATAAATATTTTTTTCAGATTTGAAGAAAAAGATTTTAATTATCAAATGTTATATTATATTGTGTTAATATTCAATATATTAATACCCCGGTACTTTACTCTCTCTTTATGCATTCAAAAATGATTTTTTTAAAATTCTCTTACAACTAACTATTCTTGTTAATCACTTTTCAAATTCACTTGTCAACAAATTAACATACCAAGTTATTCATAATTCAGAACTGTCTGTCCTTTGAAACTGTCTCTTATTTAGCTGTTTAGGCCAAAATCAATTTATATATATAAGAGATCTAAAGAAAAAAAATATTCATGATTTTGATTTTAACAGAGGATAATCCATGTAGAACAGGAAGTCCATTTCACGTGGGAGGCGACGCTCCTTCCTGTCTTGGAGGAGAGTTCCGGTGTCCAGCTGGTTACGCCTGTGTAGGGACTGCCTATACCTCGTCAGTGTGTTGTCGAGGTATGTTTATAATATAAAAATCTATAGAATACAGAAGAAAAGAAATTAAGTTGGTATTAAATATTAATAAAATAATAAAAAAATTGATAAAATTGCGTTTGAAATATATTTATAATTATTTCTAACTTAGAATTTATATCATTAATGAAACAAATTAATGTTAATTAACAATCATATATATTTTCTTTTTAAATATTGATTAAACATTTTCATAAAGCAATGATGAACATGTTTGAAGAATCAAATGTAACATGCATGTAAACATGTAATTTTTATTTGTATTCTTTAATTTTTCATTTGATTATTATATTTTTTTTTGTATTCCATATTTTTGGAGGTGGTAACCCCCTCCCACTTCCCCCTGGTAAGTTTTGTTTCACCCGTATAGTATAACTTTGCGATACAGATAAAATATAATTGAATACAAACGAATAATTATTCAATACAACTAAAAAATTATAAAATGCAAAAATATATGACTACAAATTTTTATTGTATATTTCACACATACACGTTTCTTTGAAACTGTTCTTTATATAACCTTCTCTGTACGTTTCAGTATCAGATTTTCCATTAAGTATTCCATCAGAGCCCGTCATCCTGGAATGCGTTGCAGACGGCAGGACATATCGGCCCGGGCAGGTGTTTACAAATATCCATGGAGATCGCTGTACTTAAAAACCGAGGCAGAGTTCGGTGTGCAGGCGTTGGCACGATAAAGATCCCTCACTGCTCAATGGCCCTGAGTAGGCTTTGTAAATCAAAATTTGATCTCTTCGCCCTGGTAAATTATATAAATCATTAACCTTCGTAAAGGTTAGTTTTGTAAATCGTTACCTTTCCTCTGGTAATTTATGCAAATTGTTATCTTCCCTGGTAAGTTAATTAAGTAAACTGTTACCATTCCCTTGGCATAACTTATTTAGACTATCAACCTTTCCTCTAAAACTCTATTCAATGATAATGTTTCTTTTCAGCACTGGTTTTTGTTTTCTCAAGTGATACATGACTCGATAGTACTTACGAACAACTAAATGGATACATAATTGTAATTACCCTGCAATCCCATTATCTCCCCCACCTCCATGTAATTATAAAAATACATATTCCATTTGTAAATCTATCCGTGATAATATCAGCAGAATTAAATACGCCAGCATTTGTGGGTATCCATTGAACATCTTGTGAAAGCACGATTATGAAAGCAATATCTCCTTTAGAAAAGAAACAAAGCATCAGACAAAAATTATGGCATTCCAAACTACATCTGAAAATATTAAGTCACAAGTTAAAGAAAACTTGAATGAAATATGAAGATAACGAACAGTATTCAAGCTTCAAAATCCATTCAAAAAACAAAAATCAGGAGCAGAGCACACACAAACCTCAATTACATCAGAAGTGAAATTAGGCGCCATGGAGGAGTAATTCTCCCAAAAAAGATCATAGCTTTATTAATTTTTACAGCCTCTCCATTCTGTACTTACGTACCTTTGGGCACACGATACACACCAGGGCAGAGATTTGTAGCTGAAGACGGATGTAATGAATGCTGGTGTGAGGTCAATGGAAGAATCAGATGTACCTCTGACATTCCTTGTCACGGTCCAGATAGTCACGGACATGGCTCTCATCCACCCGGTAAAGAAATCTTTACAAGAAAGGAAAGTGAATCTGTCATACCTCAAAATGCTCAATTTATTATTTTTTTTTTACAGTGTATCACTTGCTTTGAAAAGATAGATACAGAAATTATATAAATTTATTGTATGAAAAATAGAGCAATTAGAAAAATTGATTATTTACGAAGAAAAATATGCTCTGCTTTATTTGATTCACATCTTTCTTTGTAAAGACAAGCTTATAATTGATTTTAGGACAACTTTATTGCAATTACGGGGACAGCCATTACGGTCCCAGACAATCTTTCACGTCACCAGATGGTTGCCAGCAGTGCACCTGTGGGACAGATGGGAATCCTATATGTAGCCCCCGCCCATGTATCCGCGTTCCTGGAAATATCCCACGTGTTCCAAAAATACCACGTGTTCCCAATCTTCCGAGTCTTCCAGGTATTATTAAAGCCATCTTTGATTTTCTTTTTCATATGAAAGATTCATTTTGAATGACAATGATGAGCACTTTTAGTACATTTAACAAAGTTGTAATAATTTTCTTTAGGAATTTACCTGCTTCCAATTTTTAAAATAATTTTACAAGTGTAAAACTTTTTTCGACAGAAAAATTACAAATTTATAATTGAAAAATAATAAATCTGAAAGAGAAGGAGTGAATGTTTTAATATAAATGCAGAAATATCAGTTTTTAAATTACTCTTTTAGTTGTCACTCGTAAGATAAATTTCTTTTGCCTTTTTCAGATCATGGTCATGGGCATGGGCATGGACACAGCCATAAGTAATGAAATAAATATAACAAAATAAGCTTAAATTCAATTCCTATAATTTATAAAACTGATGTCTTCTGAGATATTTATTAAAGAATATTAATTGTGAACATTTTTGTTTTAATTTACTATTATGTTGGAACAAAAGGGTGAGATTAACATATTATTCACATATGGTGATTGTGCATTTTCTTTAAATGCAGTGTTTGATTGTCAAAAGTACTTGTACATATATGTCCACCTGCATTCAGTTTATGCATACTTCGAACATAGATGACGAATAGAGAATTTTTATTTGACGTTATACTAATCAATAGGCCTACTTTAAAGCAAGCTTAGTTTTAAAACACGTTCCTTTTTACTTGACTCTTCAAAAAAAACATAAATGACGTGTACATAAAGAATTTTTAGCGCAATCACTGAGAACGGAGTAGTTGGCTCATCATGAATTAGTGGTAGACATGTTCGTGCCTATAGTTTATATCTATAAATGATTTCTTAGCGGTATTCATAAATTAGCGCATCCTTGTGTGCGCCAAAAGCCGCTAAAATATTAAACCCACTTTTCTATGTACACATACAGTAGTCACCTCGTGGGGGTAGTGGTCACTAAATTTACTCTAAGGACATGCATGGAATAAAGAATCATAACGGTGGTTTGACTCCAACTGAGAGACGAGAAGACTGGTCCTTTGGATAAGACCGTATAAAAAGAGGTCCATTGTTACAGTATGTGCTGGCACGAAAAAAGATCCCATATAAATCAAAGTCGTAAGTGACGAGTACTAGTCTAATTTTCAGGTCTCCATAATGGGTGAAAAATGTTGCAAGGAACGTTTAAAAATAAAGAAGCAAACAAAAGCAATAATTTTAAAATAAAATTGTTATAAGTCAATATTTCATTATTTCATATTTCAGCAATGCATCGTACAGATTGATTATGCATAACTTTTAAAGTACTTCACCCACTTTACATTAATAATTAAAAAGGCAGATTTTGATAAACGCATTTTACTTTTTTATGACGTAAAGAAATGTTACACAGATATCTCTTGCAAGTTTAATTTGTATTTTAATTGCAAATTTCAAGGGAGACGTTCCAAATCAATAATTATATAATTCTGTCCCAGCACAAATGATTTATAATTCTTGACTCATTTTTCCCTCTACTAAATAAAAACTAAATATATATACCCTACAAAACATTTGTGAAAAAAAAACCACTCAAGATACCGTTTGGTTTAAAAGTCAATAAATTAAAATATTCTCGTTTGTTTTTTTTTTGTTTGTCGTTTTAACGTCCCTTACAAGATTTTTCCCCTCATATGTATGGGGACACTATCCTTTGCCGGTGGAGAACTGCAATTTGTGTATTCGTAACCTCTGGCCTTAAAGCAGTGAAGGATCGTTTTAGTTCCAGCAACTACTGTGACACGTGATCTATTTAAAATCAAAGTCCCAAGATTGAACCCATGACGTAAGGATTAACTCCATACCTATCGACTCTAGAGCAGACCACCTAACCACTGCGCCTAGCGGGCGACAACTCTACACTTCAAACTACACTTTGCACTTCAAACTCAATGTTCAATAAAACCCCTTTCACACCGGGACTGCGTCCTCACGACGATCACACGACGTCCATAAAAAATACAAAACGCCGAGATGATCGCAGTAGAGTCTTCTACAGCGTATCGACAACGCGGCGAGATCTCCACTGAACTCGGTAATATCGCGTAGGGTCTCCTAAAACGCCAGGGGGCGGCGATCACTTTGGGCATGCACAAAGTACGCGACGTGTGATCGCGGTCTGTCAAGAGAGCAGTAGAAACGTAGTATGATTGCCGTAGCATCGCAGTGAGATCTCCAACAACGCAGAGCCAGCTCGGTATGAACGGCGTGAAGATGCACATAATCGCAGAATGAACGCAGTGATAGTAGACTGCGCCGTCAAGGAGACCTCACGGAGACGTCGCGGAGTTCTTGGAGATGTCACTGCGTTTCTATCGCGCTTTTACGGCGCTTGTAATGCGATTTATTGTCTTGCTATTTTTTTGACTGCGATTGCACAACAACACTGAGTTGTCATTGCGATCCATTCACGTTTCTACAGCGTCCGTTTGCGATCACAATGCGCTTTTACGGCGTTGTTAGAGCGTTGTCAACCAAATCATGGATTAAGAGCAACGGCCTCATACTTAATCAGCAATAGTTCTAGTATTTGTTGCACTAGGGCCATTAAAGTAAAATTGGAAAGAGAAAATTACACTAGAACTTGTTCTTTTGTTTCAGTGGTGTTGCGGTAAAATAACTTAAAACTTTTCAGATTTACATGAAATCAAAGAAAATACATCTACATGTACATATGGATCGATGAAAATGGAAAAAAGAAGGGTTTTGATCGTAAAACGATTAATAATTTAGTACTAAATTATTCAAATAGATCATTTTTAATTAAGAATTATATTTCTTGGGATGAATAGAAGTCTCTTCATCATGTAACTTGAATCTTAAACAAAATGTTTTACACTCCACCTGAATATCTATCCATGGGTGAAGAACGCATTGTGAACGCAGCCAGCGCAGTGAGAACGCCGTGAACGCGAGGTGAAACTCCTTAAACGCCGTGAAAACTCCGTGAAAGCGCAGTGAATCGCTAGGAGATCTTCGTGGAAACGCAATTGAACACCATGAGAACGCCGTAGAAACGCGTCGGTGGCCATACGGACGCCATGAATCCACACAACGTGAGAATGCTACAAAAATATGAGCAATTTCCCAGCGATGCCACAGCGATTTAAAAATTTTTAACAACGCCGTAATGACTCCGTGTGGACGCAGCTTGGTGTGTCAGGGCCTAAAACACTAAAGATATTGAACTCTAATCTTCCCCAGACTAGTAAATATTATTTTATCTGCTCATTAGCAATATAATGAATATTTGTGTACAAACCTTTCCAATTACAGTCCAACCTCTAATGCATAGCTGCGTGGCATAAGGCATAAAATATTTGATTTCTTAAGCACAAGTTATGTCAACCTCTTCTATTACTCATAATAAGTTTTTATAAATGAGTAATTTATTTTCATAAAATGTATAACTTCGTAATAGTTTTACCCTCTAGGGCTTTCCAAAATGTAGTTCATTTGCTGCTTGGAATATTAATCATGAGTAATTCGTTTATGCAAACTTAAAAGAGTTATGATTTAAATTTTAAAAATAAATATTTTGAATTTTGAATTCATTTTCATTGGGATTTTCCCTTATTATGTGTGAATCTTATTAAAATTCTGTTCTTTTATGGATGACTAATACGTTTAGCTCATTGAACTTATCACTTGCAGATCTATCTATGTAGAAATTAATAAAAATGCATAAATGTAAATCTTTTACTGAGTATTATTATTGCATAATCTTTGTCTTATAACTTCATTTTTTTCCTGCAAGCTTACATGACACTACATTGATTTAAGGTACATTAAAAGAACCACAACAGTTTAACATATTCATTACATTCTCTTTTGTTTAAGTAATAAATGTAACACAAATTCTCAGGTATCCATTCTCAGTGAAAAGAATTATTCTGTTATATATATTCTGTAAATTTCAGATTCCAGATATAGTGGTGTGCCCAGTACAAAAATTAGTGACATATTTTTTTTACAATTTGATTATGAATTTACTTGATTGAATACTGCTCGTTATCTCCATATCCTTTAGTGCTCGTTATCTCCATATCCTTCATTGTATAGAGAGAGAGAGAGAGAGAGAGAGAGAGAGAGAGAGAGAGAGAGAGAGAGAGAGAGAGAGAGAGAGAGAGAGAGAGAGAGAGAGAGAGAGAGAGAGAGAGAGAGAGAGAGAGATTATGTACATTTGTGAAAAACATTTTGACTGTCAGGTACCTTTACCACTAGCATTCCGGATTTATGCATGTATCTGTTGATTCCATATGCAAGAGTATATCCTTTCTATGAATAATTTCTAACACGATGTAAAGAATTTATTGATGCACCCTGTTGAAAAAAAAAGAATATCAGCAGTCTCATTCAAAGTCATCATTACGTAAATTTATGGCAAATACAATCTTCCAAAGTCAAATGCTGACTGACATTTTTAAAACTTAGTTAGGCCATTATTTACACACTGCATTATACATCGATTTTTCTGTTATCGATGTTTCTGTCCGAATGATGAAAAGAAACACACGACGGGTGCGACCGGGCGACATGGAATGCTCACTCCTCTATGGTACCTGATCCCACATTTGATTTTTGAGAGGTTCTAATTGGTGTTGCTCCTGATTTGTATTGTTTAATGTCCTTTTGAGTTCGCATACTGTTCGTTTTTTCCGTGTACGAGGGTTGTCCCGTAAAATCGTGGACAAAGCGTTTTTCTCAAAAAAGTAATGGGCGCACTAAGCTGAAAATATCAGTAAATGTTTAATTATCATATTTAAGTGCATGATAATTTTTTTGATAAAATATAGGCAAAAATAAAGATTTTATTATGCTTGAATGTGCACGGTGTATTGTCCTACGGCGCACGGACAAAAACAAGGTTTTATTAAAGAATACACAAGTTTGAATTCAAAATAAAAGTTTTAAATACATAAGATTTGTATTAGAATTATTCTAATTCAATTTCACAATCAATTTTGTAGTCTTTGTAAAAAATTTAAGGCATTTGGTTAATTTTTAGCAGTTTCTCGAGCAATAGAAATGGGAAAATGATAAACACAACACACGAAAAATGGCGACGTTTTATGACGTTACGGCGCACCGGAGAGCAGTTCCGTTTTAATTCGATGTTGTAATGACACCTTTAGAGACTTGAAATGACCACAGAAGAAAAAAGATTATAAAAATATCACCATATCTTAAGTATACAAATGAAATAGGAGTTTTCTTAGCGAAGTCTTTATTGATCGAGTCCCCGGGGAGTACAAAACATACGGACAAACTCCTAATGTAATAGCAAAAGACGCTGTCACAGTAGACCGCCGATATGAGATTTTCTATTAGTTGAATGATGGTGAGAATATTGTCCGTAACTTACTGATAAATCTTCAGAAGATCGCATGAGGGTGCCAATTGGTTCCTCCACTGTTTATGGAGACTAAAGAATGTGTATCAATGAAATTCCTAAATTTAAGTCGGACTAATCCAACTTTATTTTCAGCAATGATAAAACGTGACGCTGTTTTAGACACTTTGACGTTATAATCCATGCGCCGTAAGGTGATACAATACATGGCATAATTTGTTTATTTATGCATATATTTATCTGAAATTTGCTCTGTACGAGGGCTGTTCGGAAATTATTGAGACATTGTGGATACATTTCTTTCTAATGAACGTCTTTCGGTGAAAATTCGCATATACGTTTGACAAACACCAAGAATTCGTAAAAGCAAAAAATATTTTACAAATATTAAATTTCTTATCTTCAATGGTCGATAAATATGTCAATGGTAGGGGTACCCGGAGCAGTCACGAAATCAGATTTTGAAAATATGTAACAACAACGTTCAAACCCAAGGTGGACCCATAATAAAGGGGATAATAATTCAATTTATGTTTATAATTTTTCAATTTTATTTTAACTGCATGCTGTATAAGTTTGTTAGAATTCTGATCAGAAATATGCAGATCATTAAAAAAATCAGGCGCAATCAAGAATTCTGATAACGAAGAAAAGATGAATTTTGACGTCAAGGCGGAGCAACGAGAGACTTATAATTTTGTGTAGCGCTATCTAAAACTCTTTTCCAGACTGACCAACCCGATCAAACAATAACAAGAATACTGCAAAACATGTTAAAAGATTTTTATTTCATTGGTTTATATTTTTTCTGACCAACGATTCAACCACAGTAAAATAAAAAGCTCCGAACGACTATCAATTTTGACCTAAGAGGATCAATAGCGTTGACCCGCGTTGCGTAAATCGGCACTACATGATGCAAAGTCATCCTGCATATATGACAAATAAAAAGTTAACACTGATGAAGCAAAAGCACATATTTAAAAAAAAATCGTTTAAGAGAAGATAAAGTTTGATTTTTGCAATACTGTACATGATAACGAAGAAAAAAAAGCAAACACCTCCCGATTGTTTCACATGCTAAACATCTCCGATTGACATGACGTTAAAACGACGTAGCGATGTTGCTCCAGGTCGATAAACATTTGCATGTTTATAATTTCACCAGAACTTATCTAATTATCCCAAGAATTAGAAATTTTGCATATTTGTTTTATTCTTTCATTCTAAAATGTTGACGAATTTTCCTTAATTTATCTCGGCTCTTTATAGAGTTGCAGTAAATGTCTCAATAATTTCCGAACAGCCCTCGTATATTACTGAAATATGTACTAAATAATAGTGAAAATTTCAGAACGCATTGATGTTTATTTTTTACACTAGACGACTTGTCCACGATTTTACGGGACAACCCTCATATTTCTATCAATATTGCGAAAAATTATTGGAAGGCAGCGTTTTAATTTATTATTGAATCTTTTACAAATATTCTGCTTTCAAAAGAATTCTTATTATTCTTAAGCTTTATAATGGCAAGGATTCGTAAAACAGGATTTACGAACGGCCACATACGTTGACCATACAATTTCAAATGAAAGTTTTAATAAAAATCATAATCTGCACAAAAGACATATAAATGTTTATATGGAATTTTCAAAATATAAAATGTTAAATTAATCAAAAAGGGTATATGTGAGGTTATTAGATCAAAATTATCTGTATGATGTTTTTACTTTTGCTTTCAATATTTCTGGTAAAATCTTAAAAAGTCTGTATTTCAGTTCAAAGAAATGATAAAAAATGTGTTTATTTGTTTTTGGACTAGTTTATCAGTTTCTAAAAAGGCGCTCATTAAAGAAACAATGGGTTGTATTTTTCATAAAGTATAAAGAAATGTAAACAGACCCTACCTTCGTCATTAAAATGAATGTTTTGACAGTTATGCTAATTTCGTACTTGATGTATACTTGCAGAAAATCCTTTTGCTATTTCACAAAATAAAATACACAGATTTTTACGTTTTGGACACCTTGTCGTTACAATGTTTATGACCATTGTCGTTGACAAGGTAATTTATTTACTTTTAAAGTGCTTACATGGCACATATTCATCAAGGAATACCCACCTTTAAAAAAAATATGCATTTAAAGAAACATATAAAAGGCCTTCGTTTTCTTATCTGTATGCACACAGGACTAATAATCAACCAAACATGATTGTCTTTAGCGTTCTTGTCACATTTACTATTGCTGGTTTTGCACAAGCAAGAAAATGTAAGTAAAGTAAAAATTTTAAAGTTTATTTTTAGTTTTCCTTAACAAAGAAGAAACAAAATCCCATGTCTTCATTTCTCTAATATCAACAATTTTATTTTTGTTAAAATAAATAAATTTAACTTATTCAATAAGCATGATTTTAGAATCTAAATAAGCTCTATTTTTTTTTTAGAATCTAAATAAGCTATAACAAAGAAGAAACAAAATTCCATGTCATCATTTCTCTAATATTAACGATTTTATTTTTTTAAAATAAATAAATTTAACTTATTGAATAAACATGATTGTAGAATCAAAATAAGCTGTATATGTAATTTTATTAAATCTTATTCTTTTGAATCCTCTCGATTTTTTTCTTCAGATATTCCTCAGACACCAGAGTACCTGAAGTGTCAATACGGTAAATATTACAAGGATGTGGGTAAGCCTCCCTCCTGTAACCCATTTGGTCAGTCCTGTCCCCCTCCCTACTTCTGCAGGGGAGGTCCAGCGGACGAACGCGGATACTGCTGTAAAAGTAAGTTCTTTATTTAGGGAAAAAACATAAGATCCATCGTCGTTCCTTTGTTTTCGTGACAAAATATTCTTTTTGTGTCAATAGTTTCTTTATATCTACTTTATTAAAAAAACAAATATGAAAGATTGATTCTAAATCTAGATTACACACGATTCAAAGCAGCTTATATATAAACTAATAAATAATGAAAATTCACCGTCGTCTGTTTTAATGACAAAACTCTTTTTGTGTCAACCTTTTTTTGATGTATACTTTACTAAAAAACAATTATGAAAGATTGATTCTAAATTTGAATTACTAACGATTCAAAGCAGCTTATACACAAACTATATTTAATGAAAATGAAACATATGGAGATAACGAACAGTATTAAGATCATAAGTCCACAAAACAATACAAAACAGGAGCAGAGCAAACACGGACCTCCAAAACATCAGAGGTGGGATCAGAATCATACAATCATACTGAAGAAGCTAGCTGATTTGTAATCTTCAGAAAAATTGATCTAATAGATTTAATCTTCAAACTAGTGCATATTTTTTTTTGGTAATTGACAGCTGAGAATCCATGCAAGGCTGGAAAACCCTACACACGTAACGGTGACGCCCCTAACTGTCTAGGTGTTAATGCTGTTAGATGTGCACGAGGCTACACCTGTGTTGGATCAACTACGTCATACTCCGTCTGCTGTAAAGGTAAGACCAGTCCTTTGTTTTTACCTGAAAGACCCGTACTTTTATAAAAACTGAAGTCATTTTCTTAGAATTTAATGAATTATTTTTTATCCATATAGATTTTGATTCATTCTAAATTGCACAATATTGTGGTCTTAAAGGACAAAAATGTTGTACAGGTTTGTAAGGATGGTGTTAAATAGGAATTAATTAGAAATTTAATATTCACAAACATAACTATGATGATAAAATTACATACCCATCCAAGCATTCAGTTTGTCTTTAAAACTATATAATATGTTGCGTTAATTTTTTAGACAAATGATTATATAATTTCAGTATTTCGTCTTTTAAGCATTATATGGACAAGTTCTGCAGGATGTGATCTAAATTTATTTAATGATTAACGAACGATTTATTGAAACGTTAATAAATGTGTTTTTCATATCATTTGAACAGGTTGTACATACAGGGGGAAGTCATATTTTCCATTTGAGCAATTCCTTAATAGTGAAGGACAAGAATGCACTTGTGGTCAAAACGGCCAAGTCACGTGTACCGTAGGATACCCAATCAGTAAGTATTCTCTGATATCAATAATAAAGGATGCATTTTAATTTTAAAAAACAACTTTTTATTTAAGAATCACCTGATTAAAAAAAAAAAGCTTTTAAAAACACCAAGTTTAACTCCCTTTAGACTTATAATGTCAATTGATAGCACTAAGTATGTGATTCATAATCAGGGCAACCATAAAGGTATTTTTGTTTCGCCCTCAGCATTATACGCAACTTGGGTGTTTATCCCATACAACAGTGTACTTATGCGTGTAAAGTAGACGTTTAGAAATAAGTTCAAGAAACAAAGATCGAGACCTAGAAAATTGCAAAATGCTTTAAAAAATCACATGTCTCAAAATCTTTGTGGGCGACGGTTGCAGAGTGTTTTTTCTGTGAGAATATATATCTGAAAATTGATGTCTTCTGCAACTTTTTAAGAAAATACGGGGAAATGCACAAGTTAATGACGTCACAATACGCATTTAGGTCAACTGAGAAAAATGATTTGTGTAATCTTACTGCATGGAATTCCTATGAATCAGAAAGAATGAATTTTAATTTCTTATATCACTTTCATATTTAAGAAAAATGCAGGGCTTCATTTGTATTGAAATTGTTCTTTGTTCTTTATAAATACAGCGAAAAAAACATTTACTAATATAATATACGGTACGTTGTGCTAATTCATGATAACACCAACAACTCCATATTCATTGATTGTGATATAATTTTGAATTCGTCAAGTTATGCATACGTACACGGATCTGTAATTTTATATCTCTTATAGTTTGAAAAAAAAACTGAATTGAGGTTGGTTGATGTACTTCTTCATGTAAATCGAAAATGCACAACCGAATCAAAAGTTTAGAATTTCAAGTAGAAATCTCCATCCATAGAGGTAGCATAAATATACCCTTGTGTAAAATCTGTTGAAAATAACATATTTTTTAAAAAGGTTTGTTAATGTGTTCATTATCTTTTAGAGTGCAACTATAAGGGCCGAGAATACAACAACGGGGAGATATTCAAAGATGGCTGTCAATCTTGCAAATGTTCTAACGGCCAGGTCTCGTGCAGGAAGGAACGCTGTGCCTACTGCTATTATAATGGTAAAAAATACCAAGAAGGGGAGAATTTTCCCGCCACTGATGGGTGCAACACGTGTACCTGCGGAGGTAATGGGAGTGTGGGATGTACCAAGATAGGATGCCCCAAGTTCTGTTTTTATAACGGTCAGAAGTACTCTGTGGGACAGAAGTTTCCCGCCACAGACGGCTGTAATACATGTACTTGTGAGAGTACTGGAGGGATATCCTGCACAGAAATAGGCTGTAACCCAGGTATGACTATCAGAGTATGCTTTATTAAATATAAATAGATTTGACATGGAAAGAATATAAAATCAATGATTTTAAAAAGAAACATTATTTCTAAAATGTGAACATTCTACCTTTTAGATATTGAATCCTTTCAAACAAAGTTATTTTACTGTTTATGTTACTTCTAGGTTATTTTTTGTTATTTGAACATTGATTTATTCGCAATAATTTTTCGTTTTACAGGCGGATATACTGGTTGACATGCAGTGCTTGAAGGATATGAAAAATACCAATTGTTTGATCAAACTTGATTTCTTATTACATGTATATTCTGATTAGTAAATATTTGTTACAATAAATAAATAAATAAATAAGTTTGTTTTTCTATTCATTATTTAACATAAGCTTTTGTAACAAATAATTAAATATGGTGTTTTAAACTGAGGTTAAGCTAACCTTTAAAAAAAAAAATAATAATTTCACAAAGAAAGTAAAATGTTCTCTTTCACATTCATGATACGATTTTCTCTGTATTGATAGTTTTAAAGCAAATTATCATATCTTAGTTTTCGGAGAAGCTTAGTCGTTATTTAACATGTTTTGTAATTTGAAATATTCTCCATACTGGAGGAACAGAAGAGGGAGTCTTGTTTATATAGATCGTGGTATCCTTGTACATGTGTACGGAGATGTTAATTAATGTATTAAGAAAATGTTTTCCCTGTGGTGTCCAATTGCGCTAGCTACAAGGGGTTATCAAAAAGTTCGTAGACTAGCGTCATAAAATTAAAAACGCTTTAGGCACATCAATGAATTTTGAAATATCTAGTCTGCATCATCTTTTTTATCTAAGGAATAAACCATAAATCATAAATTTTATTTTTTAATAAATTATTAATGTTTTTGTAAGCAATGGTATGTCCAGGCGGCGCAACCTCGAACACGACGTTTTTGCGACCTATGTGTAACTGAGAAAAACTCTCTTGATATGATCATTTGACATTCAAAAATCCCGTTAATTCAGGTATGTGTCGGGACACAATTATTCCATAAAATATGATAATATATAATATAATGATATATAAGTTTCACTTCATTCTGGAAGTTCTATGAAATCTTATCGAAAATTTTACACGGAATGTCCAAACAAATGAGGCCTTGAAAATGACGTCAAAAGGGGGGTGGGGTTTCCGTTTTCAACATTCGATAAAGTTTTGCGCCTGAAAAAACTGGTATAGACCTAACATATGTTGAAACTGGCTACAGAGAAATAATATGCATCCAGAGTACAAGTCTTTTGATGTCAAAATAGATTCAGAGAGAAAAGGAATACACAATTAATGTCGATTTGCAGTAAAGGTGTTAAAATTCAATCACTTCAAAAATGACGTTGATCATGTGTTGTAGATACTGAACTCCAAAAAGCAAAATATGCCGGCACAATCAAGCCATTTAATCCATTTAGAATATTATATTCATTGAAGGCCACTGTTCATGACATTGTAAAGTCATATAAACAAGGCGGGTTTAAGTCCTTACTCAGCTCCAGGGAATCTCATCAAAAAAGTGTATGAGGTAGAAGAAGCAGACATTGAAAAAACAATGACGTTATCGGACGTCATGAAAATAAACGACGACAGCGCCGGGTGATCATATAATGTCGTCTTCAATTTATAATAATTTGGGAAATAATGAAGGTATTAGGCTGAATTTTTCAACATTTCTTTATTTTTTGTCGTTTTATGTTCCATATAAATTTTGAAAGCACAGACTACATAGTACTAATTTTATAGCCTCAGTCCACGAACTTTTTGATAACCCCTCGTATGGGGCAACCTGACAATGCTGACATGCTTTCTTTAATTTTCTCAGGAAGCATGTAAAATAGTCCTGGGCTAAAGTAAATAGAATTGAATGTCTCATGGACGATAAGGGTATCGAGGTCTGTTGAAAAGGCTGGGATGATAGATCAATGCAAACTCATTTACTAAGTCCCTTGCCAATCTCCTTGAACATACTGTTATTGTTATTGTTCTCAGGACAATAACTTCATGATTAATGGAGAACATTATATGCAGTATAATGTGACTGCTATTTCTACGAAAATGGTCCTATATTATGTCAATATTTTCATGCATGGGCAGACTTGATTTAGTAAATTGTTCTTTAAGCATTGTTCAGGCTCCATCGCTATTTACGTTTCATTGACTGTATAGATATGATGTGGATTAAATATCGTGAAAACCTCGAGAATAACATTTAAAGTTTAAATGAAGTATCATTGTTTTGTAAATTTACTTTTTAAATTTATGTATTTATTCTTAATCTTATCTTTAAACCTTATAAAGTAACACATAACTCTAAAACATCCTCCCTTCCGACAATTCAACTAAAACGTGCTAGTCTGCCATGTACAACATAAGCAGCCCGAATTCTACCATGCATTAAGTTTATCAATGTCTTAATCTGAGCGAAATAAATATTCTTGTCCTTTTTTAAATGCCTGTTTTACAGATACTGAGGTCGAATTTTCTCTAACTTGGCGTAGTGTAGTAGCCCTTGGACTTCCGGTCAAGGAACTGTCATTCATGCATTTGAAACCCGAAAAGTCGTTATGTAGTGTATATTTGCATCTGTAGCTCTCCCTTTTCTTTATTTTGAAATTTCCAACATTAGCAGTTAAAATGCGTGCTTTCAGTTACTTTTAGGAAATACAGGCATCACATCCGGAAGAGAAAGTAGGATGTTTTTCCGGACTTTTAGTACAAGACTTATGATTAACAGATACAAAACCTTGAAAACCCAAAATATTGACAATAATTTTATTAAAAATGCTAATTTTTGATTTCTGTTCAGGGGGCTAAAAATCAACTTCCGGTCATGGAATGAAAAACCATTCAACCGTTAAAGAAATAACTGATTTGGCAAAGTAAAAGATGTCCTAACGTTTTTGGTACATAGTTATATCCCGTATATAATTTTCACCTCTAAAATTAGGGTGTTGCGTTTTTATTGACGATGAGTATATATTAAGAAAGGTCTTGTCACAAGCAATTCACAGGTATAATATGAAAGTCTTATCTCTTCTCATTCAAAAGATATAACCAAGATTAAAGTTTTTGAAAAGTAGGTCAAACTTCAAGGTCATGGTCACGAGGTCAAATTCATTGTGTATTCAGGAAGGACTTGTCACAGGTAATACACATCTCTAATATGAATGCCCTATCTCTTCTTATTCAAAAGTTATGGCCAATTCAAAGTGATTTTTTTTAAAGTAGGTCAAATTTAAAGTTTAAGGTTGCGGTGTAAAAATCATAGGTATTTAGAAAGGCCTTAACACAGGCTGTATACATGTGTGAAATGAAAGTCCTTTCTCTTCTCATTCAAAAAGTTTTTGTGACGGACGGACAGACGAATGAGATTTTATGTCCTCGCGCTTTCGAGAAAGCTGGGGACAAAATTATTACGAGTATCTTCTTTTATTTCTTATCCTACGTTGTATTTTCTGACTCAACTATTTTAACGACTATTTGTTTACGTCCAATGTAATCTAATTCCTTTGATTTTTATGGTTTCAACTTGTATTCTGTTTATTTCTGAGATGTCTGCCTTGTTGTTCTGATGAAACTAAAACACAATACATTCAATCTGTTATTGAATATACATCCATCGAATCACTGTTTTAAATCTCAAACAAGATGTTAATTAAGGATGATTAATCATTTCAAAATATGTTTAATAACGAAAAACTAAAAATGTTTCTATATCTTATAAACTTGTTTTGTTTTTAAACAGTACTTAACAATCAAAGAACTTGGTCATTTCATTGAAATTCCATCATTCCTGGCAATACATTTAAACATTGTCATTTATCTTTTGTAATTCGAATATATTCAGCATATTTAATTCAACAGAAGTTTTTATTTCTATTTTTCCAATTACGTCAAGCAACTATTCCAAAATAAAATCAAATTTCTTAAATTAAAAAATAAATAAATTAATAAATAATTAAATAATAATAATAATAATAATAATAATAATGATAACAGCAACAAACTAATTATATATTGATGCAATAAAACCAGTATAAACACTTGATTTGTATGTAAATGCAATAATGTTATTTCATCTACATACTAAAGTATGTTATAGTGTGAAGACCTTATCCATAAATTATCAAAAATAAAAATAAAAGGAAAAGACTAAGTTCAATTAGAGAGAGAGAGAGAGAGAGAGAGAGAGAGAGAGAGAGAGAGAGAGAGAGAGAGAGAGAGAGAGAGAGAGAGAGAGAGAGTTACATAACCAAATATCGTTAATGACAAATAAATACACCTACTTTTCAAAGAACTCTCTCTTTTCTGTCACATTTCCATCGACGCTATCTTTAACTGAAAGTACCGTATTTTATCCATGTAAGACATTTAAACAGTTGTTTGCAAAGTTACAACATATTGAATTTCATTGGTATTTTCCGAGATATATTCACTACAACATCCAAAGACTTAATATAGAATTAATACGTTGTGAAACATGAATATTCAGTTTGATCCCAACTTTTCTTTTTGGCAACTATTACTCCTAAAAGTGTGAATGAGTATACATACGCTTTTCAGTAACTCCCTGCTCCTCTGGGGGATTACCTATTAATAGATCATATATATCATAAAAGATTTATACTTCAAGAAAATGGATTCCAACAAGTACCATGTTTTCGATTCTTGAACTCCTCACATGTAAAACATAACATTCCTTTTAACATTGCAGTATGTGTTTGTATCATCGTCATAGCTGATACCAGAAAGGATAATCGTCTACAGAAATGAAATCACTTTTACTTAAACAGAAATATCCAAATGATTCAATAGACGTCGCTAATGAAAGGACTAAGTCTATACCAACTACACATCTCAGGAATGCAGGAAAACAATTAACTGCACTGGTACTCCTGAGTCGTGAAGTTAAATTTTTCAAGATACCAAAATTTCCATTTTCACATTTCAGAAACCATGTCGTTTTGCAGGACCTATTTATTTCTAGAATAAAGAAGTGTATGCCCTGTTTATCTTAGAAGTGGATGTTTTCTGATGATGCAATGGATATATATTTGAGAATACTATATATAGAGAAAAATGAATTTACATTTTCTCATTTTTCATGTTTGCATTAGGTCAGAAAGAGCGCTCCCGTAGTGCAGTGGTAAGAGCGTCTAGAGTCGCAGAGTAAAGAGTTGATCCTTACGTCGAAGGTCTGAATCCACTGCGGCAAATAAAGACCAGTCCTTCAGATAAGACTGTATAAACT